ACAGTGGGATTTGCACATGTGCTCACAATGAAGATTAAATAAAGAGGTGAGAGTGTCCCTGAAGACTCTCGGGGCCAGCATCACCACTATGGCACACTTCTCAGCTGTGAGGAACTCTGCCCTGTCATAATCACATTTTCCTCTCTGAATCACAAGTGCCAAACCCTAGGGGATAAAGCAGGCCATCAGCATCAATCAAAACCATGAAAAGGGCCAGAAGTAGGCTATGAAATCTCAGGTTAGGGAACAAAATAAAAATTAAACCAGAGCTGGAGATATAGCTCAGTGATACAGCATGCCTGAGACCCTGGGTTTGATTCCCAAAACCACAAAAACAATAAAATTAAACTTACAGTTCCTGAGAGAGAAAGGAAGGCTGGAGGGAGGAGAGAAAAGTGGGAGGAGAGTGAAACCCCACTCAGAATGTCTTAAAAACACACACATATAGTACAGCAACTGATTTTGGCTAAGTTGTCACAAATTATTATTGTGGAAACAAGTGAGTATTTGTTCAGCAGAAAAGACAAAAAAAAAAAAAAAAAAAAAAAGGAAGGCAAGTAGGACCTAAGAACAGAAGAAAAAATGGCAAACAAAGACAGCTGGGCACTTGTTGCAGGACTTGTCAAGGCCAGGCAACCAGAGGAAAACAGTGTCCAAAATCAGAGACTCTCCAGGTTTCAACCTGGAAGAATTCACCCAAAGAAATCTATCTTAACAAGCAAGGTGGCCCTTCTGCAAGGGGACCCTAAAAGACCTCTGGATGAGACCACCCCAGGAACCAGCTGAGGAGCACATACTCTACTGGAGTCCACATGACCCTCATCCTCCCATCTCATAACCCACAGGACTATCAGGGCCATCTGGGACTTCCTTCTTCATTACAAAACTCCCAAGGAAGTGACTCTGGTGACTTAACTCAGGGATTCTGAGACCTCCACAGACCCTCTTAGCCTATTTCTCTGTCAAGCCATTAGACTGCCTGAGTATTTATGAATACTTAAAATATAAATAATAAAAATGGGATGGGAAAGGGAATAGCCAGGATAAGCTTCATATGCGACTTCCTTAGGAAGCTTGGGACAGAGATGGAACAGGTGACCTGTTTGGGGAAGAAAAGGAGAGGAAGGAGATGTGGGAGAAGAAGGCAAGGGAAAATAATGCTGAGGGAGAAAGACCAGAGGGGGGGAGAAGGGGGTGGTCCTGGGAAAATATTCCATCTACCGCAAAGGATGCAAGGTGGCAGGATTCAAATATGAACAGAGATAGCAAATCTTTTAAAAGCGAAGAAGGTGCCAAAGAGAGCTCAGCATCAAACTAGGAATTTAGGGATGTGGGCTTAGAGCGTGGAGGACAGGCTAAGAAGGGTTCTTGAGAGCAGGCAGAGAGGTGCCACCCAGAAGGGGTCACGACTCCTGGATGGAAAGTGGGGTAACCTTAATTTGCGATGACATGGTGGGAACGGGGCGAGTTTTAGGTTGACATCTCAGAAAAAGAGACGTGTAGTAAGGTGGAGAGGGGCAGGGTCACTCCTAATTAGAGGCTGCAGCGACAAGGGCTCGGGATCGTGTGGTCAGGGACCCGGGTTCGCCTTCGTCTGGGAATGCCCAGCTTCGACTGGGGGAGAAAGGAACCTCTACCACAGGGCCCTGGTCCCCAGGCCTTAACTCTTCAGGTAGGAGGGTCCTCGCGGCCGCGGTGGGCCGGGGGTTTGTGGCATCGAGGAGGGGCTAGGGTCCCGGACTCACGCATTAATGTGCTGAAGGCCACGACGCCGAGCAGCCCCTGCAGGAAGATGCCGAAACTGTGCATGAGCGCGCCGCTCTCACAGCGGCCCGCCCCGGACGCGGCAGTGGAGGACGGCCCGCCCGGCAGTCCGCGGCTCGCGTTCCCGGCGGGGCCCTGCATGGCGGCCTGGCGGGAGGGCGTGAGGCGCCGGCCCGCCCAGCCTCGCTGCTGCGGGGACCGCGCCGCCGAGCCCGAAGGCCGGAGGCCGGAGCCCGAGCCGGGAGCCGGTTCCTCCGCCGGCGGCCGACTCGGCGCCGCGCGTAACCCGACGTCTGAGATCGCAGCGCCTGATTGGCCTGGCCTGGCGTAGGGGTGGGCCCCGGCGATTCTGCTCTCCCCCGAGGGGCGGGGCTCCGGCCCGGGCGAAGGGCGGGTCAGTGGGTCTCCACCAGCAGGTAGACCGACCAGGTGAGCCTCGCAGCGCAGACCGGAGTGAGACTCAGGGACTCTGAGCTTCAGGTAAGCAGGGCAGTAGCAAGGCCAGTCTGTGATTAAATTCTTTTTCCCTCCGACGTAAATCTCTTATGTCCTGGAGAATTTATTAAAAATAAATTTGTGGATTCCATCCTCGCAAAAATTCCGTCTCAGTACTTTACGGGTGGGGGCTCAATAATCTGCCGCTGGATTTCGTTGAAGCAGCCTGGATTATTCTGAACGTGGTTGAGGAAAAATCTTGGGACATCACAGGAGCTTCTTCCTTCCAAGTCAGATATCGGGCGTCTTTCCTCTACTTCCCTGGTCAAAACTCCAGGGAATTTGATTAATCAAAACCCCGAGTTTATTTTCCCCCCATAAATATTTTTTTTCTTTTCTTGAGACGGGGATCTTGCTGTTTTGCCCAGGTTTAAGCCATCCACCTGTGCCTCAGCCTCCGGAGAGCCCTCCTCTGCACCTGACTCCCCGTAAACATAATTTAAATGGTCATTTTAATCCAAGCACTTTCGTGTAGAAATATACCAGGTTTAGACTGAAAGCTGTGTGCACATATTCCCACTTTGCTTACATTGAAGGTCATATTGAATGTGATTCATAAAAGGCGGCCAAACCAGGCTTCTTGGCTCATACCTGTAATTGCTACGGGGGAGGCTGAGGCAGGAGGATCACAAGTTTAAGAGCAACTCAGCAAGACCCTGCCACAAAAAAAAAAAGGGTGGAGTGTAGCCCACTGGTAGAGAAGTGCTTGCCTATTTTGTGGGAGGACCTAAATTCAATCCCCACTAGCACAAAAAAAGAAAAAAAAAATCAATACACACACACACCCCCACAATCTCTACCTCTACTAGGGTCCTTAGTCCTCTCCAATTTCTCCGATTTTCACCTCTTGATGGTGCTTCAAGAGCCCTGACTTTTCTGCTGCATAGTGAACAGTGTATGTAGTATATGAGTCCAGTTGGCAGTGGGCTACATTTGAAAACTGTATATTCTATCTCTAGGGAAAAATTTCCCTATAATATAGCTCCCAAGAAACCCCAATTACATTCCGGGGTTAAATCTATCCAAATGCTTTCTTCATTAACTGGAATATTAACCTGATTATCCAGATAACAAAAATGCAATTCTCCACACTTTTCTTACAATACACTTTCACATCTCTGTGCTTTTATGCAGCATTCTAGCTGCATGGATGCTGTTCCCTGTTTCCTCCTCCATGAACTGTTGCTCATGCTTCAAGGCCCACCTACCTCCTCCACTGTACTCCCACATTTCTTCGAGTGTACTGTTTCACTAGAATTTAAGGCAGCTTAATTACGTGGCTATAAATACATGTTTCTCCTGCAGCTGAGTGTTGGCCTCCTGAAGACAGGAATTGGTTTTTATTCACTCATGAATCCAACACAGTGTCTGACATAGAACATGCAACAAAATTTTTTTAACTTTAAACTGAGTTTTAATTTATAAAAATTCTCCACAAATATTGACCATAAGCAAATACAGAAAATCTGGTTAAGAAAATAAATGGATACGGGAAAATTAAAATTGCATCACTGCCTTAAGTCCAAGAGGGATCTTATGAGGACGCACAACGATTAACAGTACTTGTTCAGAGGGAACTGAACAAAAGGATGTGTCTTAAAGCAGAAGAGATTGTGACTGGCATAAGGAGACTTAGTTTCCTGAACACACAGACAGCTCAAGAAAAATTGCACATAAGGCTGAAAACTGAAGTTTGGACACAGCGCTGTTCTACATATTCAAATGTGGACAAATCCTTAATGCCCCAAGAGAATAAGAACTACATTTTAGGGATCAGGAGCAGAATCCCCAATCCTAGAAGCAAGGCCACTGTGGGGAATTCTTCTCTTCCTACCTTTCCTGAGCTGAAATTTTAAAAAGCATATAAATATGGAGGTAAAAGGACAAGACAGCCAGAAGGGGGAGAATTCTGGAATTTTATTAAGGTAGGAAGGAACTTTCTCCACCTCTCAGAATTGATTCTGAGGCCCCATTGGAAAGAGTTTTGATGGATGGACTCTTGTCAAAGTGTCCTCCTTACTGTCGAATCAGTACAAATGAAATTAAAAGTTAAACAAAGCTTAAGACCTATTTCCTTTAATTTTCTCAAACCATTTAAAACTGTCATAATATGCCACAAGTTTATACAAACTTATTTACCAAAAAGAAAAACATAAATATTCATCCAAAATACTTAAAAAAATATCTTGAAGTATACCATCAAACTGGATGGGAGTTTAATAGGTTTCCTGATGCATATTTCCCTTAAGTGTTCTTTATCTTCAATGCATAACTTTTGAAATTAAGAGGAGAAACAGAAAGCAATAAGTACTTAATTTTGTTCCAAACAAGCAGCTTAAAAAAAAAAAAAAGGCAAGATACATTAAACAAAGTGCATCAGTTCCATTGAGTTAGAATTAGAAAGAGGCCTAAGGACAGTGCTGTAACCAGCCGGGAGTCCCTCTCTGACAGGCCTCTGATTGTCTTTAGAAATACTTGAAAAAAAGGAAGAAGGGGAGCGGGGGAGAGGAAAAGAAATGAGCACTTAAAATCTCAAGAGAAACATTCATTCAAACTAACTTTCACCAGGATCCTTGCAAAGGAGTTAAGTGACCACACACCTTTAATTTTGTACTTTGTAATCTCCCTCAATCATATGCTTTATGACTTGATTTGCCCCCAAAGCATCCTTTCAACACTATCTGGCCACCTTCATTCTGCCAAGCTAGGCAAGCAGTTAGACAGAACAAACCATGCAGAAGCCTACAGACCTGAATATCCACACATCCTGAGAACAGGCACCCCCATCCAATCAGCAATTGAGGCACCATTTTACTAGTTAGCATCCTCTTTTACTCCCCATGGCTCAGGTCTAAGCTTTACTGCTGGTGTTGAAGATTTGCCCAGCAAGGCTGGGGCTTGTTTCTCTTTTACAACATTCTTTTGTGATAGGCCACTGCACCAGGACTGAGCAGTCAGAAAAAGCATAAGGGGAGAGAGTTTTAGGACTACTTCTCATCCCCTCAACCCTCTACTCCCGGTTTTGCTGGCTCTTGTAAAAATCTGACTTCTTAAACATTGTAGCCAAGATAATCAATATGCACTTTTTAAAAAGTGCACTACCACTATCTACTATACCTCACCACTAAGGCTGCTTCCAGAAACAGTACTTGGTCTGAGACAAGTACTAAGGAAAAACGCCCTAAGAGAGTGGGCTTAAAACCACATCCATTTGGACTGAGCTTTGAGTTTAGAACTCTACACCAAAATTCCAAATCCATTAGGTACTTTATTTGGATAAATTCAAATTTCCTAAAGATGCACATTCTCACACAAGGATGTCATTAAAATTTACTAGTAAAATATTTAGAGTGAATAAAATCTAGGAAGAAAATTATAGTGGCAGGAAAGTGACTTATTTCTTTTTGGTTTTGCAAAAACTTATTTCTTTCTTGTCCTACAGTTTCTAAACCAGCACCATGGATGACAACCCAGCTACTTACAATAAGACTCAGGGCTAAAAATACTTAAAATTTAACAAGGGAGTACCTGGTCCTCACCAAGATTTATACTTTACTTTCATTAGTGGTGCCTTTTTCTTCATCTTCATAAGTAAACAGAATACTTTTCAACTTGTATGCATGCTCATACATGGAACATCCCTAATACATAGGACCAGAGTTCAAACCTAAAACTTCCATAGAAATCAATCAAATCAGTAAAGGGGTGTCTTAAATGTAAGTCTTTGGTGATAGATGCCAAGTAAATGTAAGTGCTAGGGACAGTTTTTACAATGTCCCAATCTAGATTTCCTGATGTTCTGTGTCCTTTGGAAAGAGTTGTTGGCTTGAGAAAGGAATAGTTCTGAGTCCTACCTTATCTAGGGCCTCCTAGAGCTTTTAAAATGTATTCAGTACCACCTTAGTGAATGGATTGGTTCTACAAAGCAAGTAAAATGTATTCATGAAGAAGCTTTGGTTCAATGTCCTCTGTTTCACAGTGAGAATAATTTTACTTTCAGGAAAAAAGACATAAAAACCAAATTCTGAATGGCTTTCTATGTCTGTCTGTATCATAATTCAAAAAATATTTACCAAGATCACTGTTTCCAGAGGTTGGTAAATACCCTTTTTGACCTCATAAATTTATGTCATAGATGCCAGGAGCCACCCACATTGCTAAAATTAGGGTAAAAAGCCCCCATTAAGGCATTCCCTGCATTAGCCCCTTCAAACTGCTTCAATGAGAAAGATGGTTCACAAATTAAAAAAAAAAAAAAAGTAGCTTAGTCCTCAGAAGCACTCAAAATATAGTTATAATGTCAGAACAAATATGCATGTGAAGTAAAAGATCTCCCTAGCACATTGACATAGCAATTATATCCTAATATTGGTAGGCCAACTTTTCCAGTTAAGGAGGATGATATTCAAATTTTATACTTAAAAAAATGCCCTGTGCCAAATTCTCTATTATTCTCTCATATATAGTATCTGGGACTAGGGGCTGGGGAATATAAATCTTTTTTAAAGTGATTGTCTATATCCCAGTAGAAGGGAAGACATATTAAGGGAAAACCTACTCATTGTTCAATTTAAAAGCCAGGCTTTCTCTAGAAGAAAGCTAAGCCTGAATAATCATGGTATAAACAGACAAGCCTGTTGTTCCCCAAACCTACCCAGATCAGAAACCGCTCTGGGCAGTGTGTTTTCACCTTTCAGGGGCTTTAGATCCCCATCTGTGAAGAGAGGTGGTCCTAAATTCTGTGATTTCTTAAGAAGTCAAGA